TTAGTAGGAAACCTTGTAATCGCAAAATTCCTTGCAATACGCTATTGAAATACCTACTTATAGTCTCTCCCGACCTATAAAATCTACCGCCAACACTACGATTCTTAGTATGATGTGCTAATATTTGTAAAGTCATACACACCTGTTCCTCTACAGACACCAAACCATCAGTTTTTACCCTCCCATCTTGACGAAGTAAGTCGCATAATATGCCAAAAGTCCTTCTATCCATTCTCAATTCGTTAACACATTCAGTATCAGTATTCCCTATTATACCATTCAGATAACACAAACTAATCTCTCGTCTAATAAGTGAACGATTAGTCAATGTGGGTCGTTCAACATGTCTCTGTTTGCCACGTAGCATCATCACCACAAGAATCGTACAAATACAAATTGTTTCCAAATAAGACATCTCTAACAATAAGATCAATAAAAGCTTCCTTCGATCCATATCTATCCAAAAAAAAAAAAACAAAAAACAAATTAACTAAATCATTAACCCGAGGCAACAAATATACATATGGCGTTGAAAAAAAAAAGTTTTCATTAACCCGAAGCATCATATTCAAAATGTTCTACTCTTATACATCTATAAACATGTGTCTAAGAACACTAGTATGAGGATTGCTATCATTGCTAGGCATTGCATGTGAAAAGGGAAATTAAAGGACACCTGTAATGCAGTAGCCTTAGCCTTAGCCTTCCGTTTATGCTCCTCTTCTCTGCAACCAACAACCACAACAAATTGCAATTCAGCATCAACCCCACACAATACAAAACATTCACATTGTATACACAGTACATACATACACACTGCAAACACAGTACATACATACACACACTACATACACTGCATACACTACACACACACTACATACACTACACACACACACTGCATACACTACACACACACCCTGCAAGTACACACACAGTGCATACATACATACACACACTGCATACACCCTGCATACATACACACTGCATACACAGTACACAAACACACACACTGTATACACATTGCACACACAGTACACAAACACACACACACTACATACACTACACTTACACACACACTGCATACACTACACACACACCATACACACTGCACACACACACTCACACTCACACACACACACACACACACTACATACACTACACTTACACACACACTGCATACACTACACACACACCCTGCATACACACTGCACACACACACACAAACTGCATACACACTCACACACACACTGCACACACTGCACACACACACACACACACACACACACTGCACACACTCACACACACACACACACACTGCAACACACACACACACACACACACACACTGGACACACACATACACACACTGCATACACACACAAACACACACACACACACTGCACATACACAACTGCACACACACACACACTGCATACACACACACACTGCACACACACACACACACACACACACACACACACACACACACACACACACACACACACACACACACACACACACTGCACACACACAAACTGCACACACACACACACACACACACACACACACACACACACACTCAACACACACTCACACACACACACTGACACACACACACACACACACACACAGAGTGCAACACACTCTTACCCTCACACACACACTCTGTTTTTATACACACACACACATTGCATACATACTTGCATACACACACACACACACACACACACACACACACACACACACACACACTGCATACACACATACACACACACACACACACACACACTGCACACACACACACACACACTGCACACACTGCATAGACACACACACACTGCACACACTGCATAGACACACACACACTGCATACACACTCACACACACACTGCACACACACACACAAACTGCATACACACTCACACACACACTGCACACACACACACACACTGCACACACACACACACACTGCACACACACACTGCATACATACTGCATACATACACACACACACACTGCGCGCACACACACACACTGCACACACTGCATAGACACACACACACTGCATACACACTCACACACACACTGCACACACACACACACAACTGCATACACACTCACACACACACTGCACACACACACACACACACACACTGCATACACACACACACTGCACACACACTCACACTCACACACACTCACACTCACACTTACACTCACACTCACACACAAACACACACACACACAATGCACACTTACACTCACACTCACACTCACACTCACACTCACACTTACACACACACTGCATACATACTGCATACATACACACACACACTGCATACATACTACATACATACACACACACACAAACTGCACACACACACACTGCATACACACACACACACTGCACACACACTCACACTCACACACTGAACACAGTCACACACACACACACACACTGGACACACACATACACACACACACAAACTGCACACACACACTGCATACACACACAAATTGCACACACACACAAACTGCACACACACACACTGCATACACACACAAACTGCACACACACACAAACTGCACACACACACACACTACATACACACACACACTGCACACACACTCACACTCACACACACTCACACTCACACACTGAACACAGTGACACACACACACACACGGGGACAGAGTGCAACACACTCTTACCCTCACACACACACTCTGTTTTTATACTCACACACACACACTGCATACATACTTGCATACACACACACTGCACACACACACACTGCATACATACTGCATACATACACACACACACACACACTGCGCCCACACACACACACTGCACACACTACATAGACACACACACACTGCACACACTGCATAGACACACACACACTGCATACACACACACACAACACACACACACACACACACAAACTGCATACACACTCACACACACACTGCACACACACACACACACTGCATACACACACACACTGCACACACACTCACACTCACACACACTCACACTCACACTTACACGCACACTCACACTTACACTCACACTCACACACAAACACACACACACACACACAAACACTTACACTCACACTCACACTCACACACACATTTTACACACACAACTCACACACACATTTTACACACACAACTCACACACATACACACAAAAACAGATTACACACACACACACGGACATATTACACACACATTTTACACACACAACTCACACACACACACTGCAAATAACACAGGTTACACACACACACACGAATAGATTACACACACATTTTACACACACACAGATATTACACAGGTTACACAGATTACATACACACACACACACAAACACACTCACACACACACAAACACACAGACAAATTTTTTTCGGTACACACAAACACACACACAGAGAGCACACACCTGAGACTAATCTCAATTTCATCTTATGAAAACCCCAAATTCTAATCTCAATTTCACCTAAATAACAAAACCCTAATTTGTTCAATTGCAAATCCACTTGTATATTATGAATTTCTCAAACCCAAAACAACAAAATCAAATAAACCTCAGTTAATATCACAAACAAATCCACACAAATCGACGAAAAAAAATCGAAGATTCGAAGCTTACCGACTAGAGGCAGATGACAGCGACCAGATGCAAGGACGACGATGAGCGTGAGGACGATGTGGGAGCACGGCAAGGACGACGACGAGGGCAGACGCAGAGATGAGGACGATGTGGGATGTGAGATGTGGGAAGACGCGGTTTCTCTGGCTTACGAGTCCGCCCGAATTTGGGATCCCTCGTGAAGAACGGCTAAGCCCCCCCTTAGTCCTAGCGAATCCCACCTAAGCTCATTAAAGCTAATCCCGGTACCCACCAAACACTGGACTATAGTCTAGTCCAGTCCAGTCCCAGCGAATCCTGTCAAACAAACGTGCCCTTTAAGTCAAGATAAGTTGTTCCGATCATTCAACATTGTTTTTTTCCTTATATCGTTCAAAGACAACTTCTGTGAACCCGTCCTCTTCAATAATGTCTCGCTAGAACTAGGGAAGGAACCATCCAAGGAGCATGAGGGCCTAATTATGTTTTACAGAATTAAATTCAGAAGCTAATTGGCAAATGAGAAGTAGTGACATCATTTTACAACTAATTGGCAATATAGGAAGTAGCTAATTTGTTATGAACTCATGCAAGGTCTAATAACACTCCAATGTGAGACTACTATGTAATCTCAACACTTTCCCTTAAGTGTGACCTCATTACATGCTTTGATATAATAAAGAAAGTCGACGCTCTATCCTAAAACTAATTGGCAATTAATATGAGAATAACCCAACCCCTTATAATCTAAAAAATGACTCACAAAATTGGATTCATATCAAGTTTCCCTTTATCACTTCGCTCTGAAAAACTATATGTGAAAAGCCAAAAATGATATAAAAAACCTAAGCACTTGGAACACTTTTGGCATTGGTTTAGCCTTTTAGGTCATCCAAGCGGTTGTTCACTCGCTTAAGCGTCGATACTTATTACTTTTAGTGAGCCAAGACACAAATCTGTGTCTTTTGGAGCGCTGCGACATCCCACCCATGTACTCTGGCTCTTCATTTGAAGTATATATATTTTGGCATTCTGTTAAACCAACTACTTTTTTATACAAGCACAATTAGTGTTGTATACATTATAAGCACAAAGTAGAAATTTCGAAAGACAAGTGTTATTGACATTCCAAAAATCTCATTCTACACTCTTTATAAGTGTATTTTTTTTTCCAAATATAGAAAGTTTTGAGTGTAGAATGAGATTTTTGGAGCGCCAATAACAATTCTCTGTATATTAGAAAACTTCATATATATATATATATATATATATATATCACAAACAAACATATAGGAACTTACTAATTAAGTTCGTACATTGTCGGCAATTAATTCGATGATTGCCAGAGACCTTGGACCTCTAAATCTTTGTTCTCTCTTCTTCTAGATTCCACAGGTTCTCCCTAAACAAAAAGCTGCCACTCATGTGTAACCCTTCATCAGCCGAATTCACGCCTACCGTTTTCGATTGTGCAATATTGTCAATCCAAAAGTTTGTGAAGAGGTCTTCCTCTAACCCTAAACTAGAAAATGGTCTTTCATCAACATTGTCTGTATCCTGTAACATGGTCTTCCATGAATCAGTTGCATTTTCTGTAGGTGGTGATGATGTCTGCAATAACCTGCTACAGTTCTCTTCCGATTGAAAAATTGCAACTCTAGCCCTCCGTGGTTGAGGTCTTATGACGATGGTGGCTTTTGTTATTCCTTTGGATTTATCCTTCATATATTCCAACTCCTTTCGTTGCTTGCTATTCCAATAATTTTTTACCTTGCCTGCTGTTCTTCCTGGGAGTCTTCCAGCAATAATTGACCACCTTTACATGCACAAAGAAAATGAATACATAATATGTTAAAACTACAAGGGCTTTGTAACTAAAGAATAGTATATTGTAAGGAGGTGTTGTCACGGTTTCAGAATTCTTCTCACTCGATCAAGTGCGCCTTGTGTCTAGAATGGGCCATCTCATTGATCGAGTGCATAACGAAATTTTGGAGTGCCAATATCTTTTATTTGTAGTTTTCATCAATATGTTTTTTCTTTATCTATTTCACATGATTTGTATGGTTTGAGGAACGTGATAATTTTTAGTCACGATAAGTTGTTGAAAGGTAGTATTCCTTAGCTTATCTAAACTACATACTAATGAAACCTTCTTTGTCAACCTAAAGAAGGTGAAAATATATTTTTGTCTTCTATCACAAAATAAAATTATGGACAATAAAATAATTTTGCACAAACTAAATTTTTGTGACAACCCGTCCCAAATCTTACATTTTTACAAAATTTAAAAGTGTGATTTTACGAAAATGCCTTTAGAGGCGAGGGTCTTGACATCCGTTGACCAACATGTAGCGAGGTGTATGAATTAATACTTAGCGTTTTCTTGAAGTACTCGACGTTACGGAATTATAAAACCGAGAAGTACTTTTGTTTAGTTGCTATTTATATATTTTATACATTTTTATAATGATATATTTTGTTTATCATTTAGTGATTTTAAAAATAGTTGAAGAAGAAGAGGAAGAAGAGGAGGGGACGGGAGAGAGAACATAGGGAAGGGCTGCTGCCCAATCAAAGGAAAGGAAGAGAGAAGACTGCCCAATCAGAAGCAGAAGCGAGGAGGGAAAGGAGGGAGAGTGGAAAGCGGGGGAAAAAAAAAGGGGGAAACAGGTTCCCAACCCGTGACTCGTGTACACCCAATCCAATTCTCCATATTTTCCGGTGATTATCCACCGGATTTCTCACGAATTTGGACCAATAAACCATTCCCAATCATCCCCTAGTCCTTTCCTCTTCCATTCCCAATCAAATTTTATAGGATTTGAGCTTGAATTCGAGTAGAACCAAACTATGGGTTCCGAGGGTGCCATGACAAAATCCGACAATTGTGAAGGTAATCCAGCAAATTGCTATCACCACTAGACTCCCCTAGAACCCAGGAACAAAGCCCAATTAGTGGTGGAGGCGTCGGAACACGTTTGGAGGTCGAATCGAAGCACACCCAATTCTAGGGTTCGGACGGGTTTTGATGAAATTGGAGCCTTTCCAAGCCAAATTGGCCTTGGTCACAGGTATGAAAGTTGTTCTACTCATTGATATATTCAAATATGAAAATTTTGGTAATTTTTAGAGATAGTTGATTTTTCCGACGAGTCGGGGCGGCCAACTGCCACCCACGGCGGCGCGTGGCCAGAGGGCCGCCAATGCTATTTTTAGGCTATATTTGATGCCTTGAATTCATTTTTGAGAATTGAATGACGTAGATTGATCGTTGGAACCAAAAGTCTCTAAGATACGTTAATTGGCTATTGTATGAATAAACGATCCGACCGTTGGATCGTCATCAAACTTTAATAGGTTATTATTCATAATATTTGAGGAATATAGGAACTTATAGATTGAGAATCCGACGTACGGATCTTCTCGAATTGGATTTGTAAGTTCGTAAAATAAAATGTTAACGACCACTTGGTTTTGGTAATTGGCGGAGATCTGACCGTTGGATCGTTCCGAAACTTTAGTATGTTATTCTAGAAGCATAATGTGGATCCTTGGAAGTTACGGATCAGAGATCTGATTTGTAGATCTTCTAGACCGAATTACATAGACTCATGTGCGATGTAAGTTATGTATTGTATCAACGAGAATTATGAGATATGGTTTGATAATTGGTCACAGGTGCCGATCGTTTGTGACGCCTTAATGTTTGTGCTAAGAAGTTGTAGCGCGGACTTGCTTATCATATTTTTTTCATGATTGATAATTTTATAAATGCTTTTAAATAAAACTGAGAAATTTATGTCATGACATATATATATATTTATTTATTTATATGTTAAAAAATACTATGAGATGATTGAGTTTAGATTTCATCGTGATATATCCATATGCGTATTACTATAACTGATTATTGTGAACTACGAATGACTTGATCCCTATTTAGGGTACATAGGCAGTCTAACGAGACGTTAGATGCAGCCATATAAGAAATGAGATTATATAATCGAGACAATAGCCCTGTTTAAGGAATTGAGCAATGTGAGGGATATTGGTGAAAAATGTGCATTTTAACTTTATGTTTTGGTGATTAATAGTTAGTACACCGTATTATATAATTGGAAATACTATGAAATATTTTTATTTTAGATTTCGTCATGGCATATCCATACGTATATTCCTTGCACATAATTATTGTGAACGCTCTGAAGTGCAAAGGTGAATGCAAGACACACAGGTAAGTTTAGGTAAGTTTAGGTAAGTTCAAGTAAGTATACGGTATTAATTGAATTGATGGGGTTATGATATGACTACATTTATGTTTAAAGCAACTTCGACACTGTCGTACATGTTGCAATAGTAGGCAACTTCGGCATTTTCGTACATATTGCTTATGAGTCGTACATGTTGTATTAGATACATTCAAAGCTCATGAACTTGCACCCTAGTGTTAGTGTTCTCGCCCGTGGCTAGGACACAGTCATTCACGTAATGTTCACCTTTTGCACCATACGCTCACCTTGAATTCAAGGTAGGTGCACAGGCCTGCCGTACATACCACTATAGGTGGTTCCGACTCGTAAGTGACTCTTCACGTGATCGTAACACTTGAGCGTATTCATTTACACCTAGTCATGTCGTACAGACCACTACTGTGGTTCCGACTCGTGTGCAGGCGTAGTGCCGTATAGGTCACTAGATGTGACTCCGATTTATGTGCTAGCAATGATTAATGAAATATGAGTACACTCGTACAAGTCACTAGATGTGACTCCGACTTATATGCTAGTCATGATTGATGAGATATGTAATGTGTTTATACCATACTTAGGGTCTCCGTATTTAGATCTCGTACAAATACTCAGGGGACTTAAATGTAATTATGTAATAAAGGAATGGGCAATTATGTAATAACTGAGAAGCCCTTATTCTATAAAAGGACTCCTCACCTTAACAATTAGAGGAAGCCAATTCCTAGGCCCTCTCACCCTCAGAAGCCTTCTCACATCCCCTTTCACATTACATAGGTTCTCTCCCTCACCTCTCAGATAAATACAATAATAGTGTGGACGTAGCCCAAACCTTGGGGTGAACCACGATACATCTTGTGTTATTTACATTTCATGCAGATTCACGGTCGGATTTACGTTGTTCCAAGACCTCCGATTTTGTGGATCAACAATGTTGATAAAGAAAATGATTTTGTAAAACATTTGTTTTTACCCACTCACGTTTTCTGTTTTGCACCCCTCCAGGTTTTAAGTAAGCTTGCTGTTGGAGGCTTGAGGACGTCGGTGGTTCTAACTTATCTAAATAATAGTAGGACATTCTTGGTACTGTATAACCAGTACTTTTCCTATTGGACTGCACCTAGACCTTATGCTCTGATTAGTAGTGTTTGCTGTTGTAACTAACTCCTATCACTCTATGTCTAGTAGTGCACTCTAGTAATTTGGTTTTTGATTATTCGTATATTTCTTATCTTTATCGCTTTCGTACTGTGCACATGGCTTCGTCACTCTCACGTGACGGCCAGCATGCCTTGATCTCGGTCGGGGTGTGTCACTATGTCCTTCAAGTTCTTCATTTTTTCCACCTTTGTCAAATCAAGATTCCTAGCCACTTTTGTTTGACTCTTATTTTACTATTAGAAAAATGTTAAGAGAATTTTTTTTTAAAGTGTGCTTTTTTATGGATTCTTTGTTCCTTCATATTTTTTACATAATATTTTATAATATTGACACAAGAATTAACGTTAAAATGTAATATAATAAAATTTTTATAAAAAGTCTCTTTTTAAAAGAACTTCCGCATGCTGCTCTTACTATTTTTGCCTTTTTAAACCGATGGGACCACGATACTTGGACTTTTTTAATTAGAGGTATCTTCTAGCTACTATTGGTTTCAATCACCAATTATTAGTGAGACAAATAATATTGAAGTAGTGGGTACCGGCTGTCTATTTTCGCGTTCTTGTAGGTAAACCTAGAAGCTACATTAAACTGAAACTATGTGTCTTTCAAATCGCCACATATTTTCTTGGATATATTCGACAAAACTTTAACCGATCGCAATCATTCTTGTCCACTAGCCTTCATGCATGCGCATGAGGTTTTTTTTGAATCACAACATGTTACGCATTACTTATATATTTTAAATATATTTATATACATAAATTGACAAAAGAAAAGTCAAATATTTGAAGTAAATGAATAATTTTAGATCATGCTAGAAGAAACCCCTCATAAACCAATTAAAGCAGCTGAATTCACATAATAAAATCGGTTTCTATATAATTTACATTAAGAATAGAGAAAATAATATTTAATAAACAATTGATTGAATCACAGTTTTATTAGTCCATTGTGAGGGTAAGCCCACCTTCCTTCCCCTTAGTGTAGATAACATTGTTTGTTAAAAAAAAAATCATTTGACAACTAATTGAATCACATTATTATGAGTGTGCGAGATACTTTTTTATAACTGGAACTACGCACCTTTAAAACTTGAGAAATAATATTTAATAAACAATCGCGTGCAAAAGACATTTTTTGAATCACAGCATGCTACGTGCGACTTAGACATTTTATATGTATTTATATGCGTGAATTAGTTCAATCTTTTTTTATTTCATTATTTTATTTTTTTATCACTGGCGCTACGCGTCTCTCAAGATGTTTTGAACACAATATTCATGATTTTTCTTCTTTTTATTATATTTTTCTTCCTCAACACTTAGAGTAGTTCCACCAGGGAACTGATAGGCCAGCACCCAGCCAAAAAACCAGCCTGGCACCTAGGCTATCCACTCCAGCAGAGCATTTTGACCAGCACCCAGCCCAAGCCAGGCAAGAGACCGGCCTAAAATCGACAGACCCACATGCCGGGCCATCAACCTCCCACACGATCAACACGTCGCAGAGCTCCTCAAGGCTGAGGTTGATTCTGGGGTGGAGAGAGATTCCGGGGCCTTCACTAAAATGCGTCTAACCTCGGAATCTAACACAGGTCCACGGGTACCAGACCGAATTGTCATACGAGTCGGTGCCGGGCGACTGACAGGCTGGATTCGCGGCAGCTACTGCCGAGGGAACCACCGGTTGAGGAAAAGATCAAATTGGGTTAGTGGGGGTTGGATTGATAGGGAATTTGATAGGCAAAATTGTTGGAATATTGTGGAGGAATAAAGATTATGGATTGTGAACCGGAAGGAAAGTTGGAATCCGGTGGGATTATCATTGCATAGGGTGGTGGGTTTTTGTAGAGCTCCACCCAACAGAGAGAGAGATGCAGAGGGAAGTTGAAGCGAGTTGGCGTCGGGAGTGGCGTTTGGCGTTTGGGGATGTAGAGGAAGAGTATAGAGAGTTCTAGTGGAACTGTGGAGGTTCCTGACTTTTCCTTTTTAAAAAAAAATTAAAAATTAAAAATTTATTATTTTATAATAAAAAATAATAATATTTTAATAAAATTGACTAAGCTATTTTTTGTTAGGGGTGGAGATGCTTTGGCCTATTACTGTTCACTGGAATCTATTACTGTTCACTTGAATGGATAAATGCGCTGGGTGCTGGTGTAAAGTCTTTAGGGGTGAACTTGTTCTTAGGCACCATCAACTTTGTTATTTGTTTATTCTTTTCTCTCTTTCCTTTCATTTTTTTATTCTTTTCTCTCTCCCCATTTATATTTATATTATAATGATGACCAAAATATCAACTTACCCTTGCATGATTTGATATATTATTCTAGGTATGTTTTGAAATTTTTTGGCTGAGAGGCAATTGGTCTAATTATTTTTGTCGAAGCGGATGACACCAAAATATTTGTCACATGCGTGACCCCAAATTTCTCTGTTTATTATTGTTCATTGCACTGCTAGCTTTATATATAATAGATATATACACGACTTTTTTTCTGTCAATATCATCTGCATCAAATCACTACCGGAGTTTCTTGTGGTAGCCAAAAAAATTGGGGAAAAATGCAAAGAACATAACGTGGGTCAAATTGAAAGGTACTCATCATAGGATCCCACATCATATAAGATGTCGATCATACAAGATATTCGATATCTCTGCTGTTGTCAAGTAGCAACACATTTTGTAATACAATGGGGTCACGTGTGATGGGACACATGGACGAATTCAGCATGTGCCTATCAAGAACAGCTGCCACCACTCAATTTCTTTTGCGACAAAAATTTGCTCCAACTAAAATGTTAAGTTATCATTTCACGTTCTATACTATTTCTACCATCTCATCCTTAAAAAGTTAAGTTATCATCTCACGTTCTATACTATTTCTACCATCTCATTCTTTTTAGTCATGTAATTTTTTATTTAGTAAATGGTTTGTAATTTTAGCATTTTAAGCACCAGTTATTCAAAATCATGTGATTGAACAATAAGTTGATAACATTGTATTGAATTTCAATTTAATTTCATCACTTAAAGTTGCCTCCACTAAAAAAAATGTTTCTAGCTCCGTCCATGGATGGACGCAACTAAATCACTTGCAATAATAACTCGAGTATTTCAATTAAGAAACATCTTTCATTTATTTCATTTTAATTTGTTACCTTGATCAATTTCTTTACTAGTCTGAAATCCACCTGCACTGAGAAGTAGGCATTTATATACAAATTCGGCAGTTTTCGAATAGGAACATGCTAGAAAGATCATGTTTTTAGATTATGATGTGGCGATTGATTATTTCCTTTCACTTTAAATAATAATTCGAGAATTTCAATTGAGAAATATCTTTCAATTATTTCATTCTGTTTTGTTCGCTCGATCAATTTCTTTACTAGTTTGAAATCAACCTACACTGAGAAGTAGGTAATTTATACAAAGAGAGTTTTCCTTACGTTTGTTTGTGGAGTGTTTACAATAAATTATACGGTATAAATATGTTGACTTTAAAAATTACAATGTCTACGTGGCGCAAAGATTTAATAACTATTGAGCTAACTACGTACTTGTGAATGCAGGCATATACCAGCTCCCAACTGAGTTCATCGGAGAGAGTAGAATAGATGTGATGAAACAATTTTCCCAGTTACGACCCACAATGCATGGTTTGGTGTACCAAATATTTTTTCATGTCTATGTACTCTTTCAACAACGAGAAGACCAACAAGAGAATTCTGCATATTACCATTGATGTTGCGGCTGAAACATACCGTGCTTTTGCTTAAATTAACTTCTTGTCCAGAGGCATGCTCATAATACTTTAGGATCTCCTTAATCGTATTACAATTTGTCGTCCTAGCCCTTGAAAACAAGAAGCAGTCATCCGTGAACAACAAGTGATTAACAGAAGGAGCTCCTTGGCAAATAGAAACACCTTGGAGCTGGTCCTCCTCTTCCCGCCTCGCAATTAGAGCCGAAAGGCTTTCGACATAAAAGAGGAATAGGTAAGGAGAGAGCGTGTCTCCCTACCTACCAACGAATGACAAGTGTTTTTTCTTGTGTGGATTCTCTTTCAATGGAAACTTGATGAGTCGATCTGTCTACACGTCTTGCTTTTACTGTTATATTGAGAGCTACTCCAATACCCCATTTGATGCAATCGTTTGCCTTGTTCATGTATCGTATGCCTTGTTCATGTCGAGTTTAAGGCCCAAGAATCTCTCTTTACTTCTCCTAAAGAAAGACTGAGCAATTTCAAAGGCCAATATGGTGTTAGAAATTTTTGATGTTGAGAAGTTAGTTTAGGCATAATGAGCTTGATGCGATTGGAGATAGTCTTTGAGGCAAGTGGGGTGGTTGGTTAAAACTAAACTTGGGCTGGAGTTGGGTTGCTCGACCCAACCCAACGTGACCCAACCACCCGAGTTGAACCCTTGGGCCTAGGTATATATAGAGTGGGTTCTAAATAAAACCGGAACAGAAATCAAGCAGCTCCCCACACTCAATGGCCTCCTCCGCTCGACCCGCTCCAGGCCGGGGCCGAAACTGGACGGAACTGCCGGAGGACGTCACGGCTTCAATACTCTCTCGACTCGGAGCCATCGAAATCCTGACGAGCGCTCAGATGGTGTGCGCGACGTGGTACAACATTTGCAAGGACCCGCTGATGTGGTGCACCGTCGACCTGCGCGATCTTGATCATCAGAAGCACATTCATTACGACTTGGAGAAGATGTGCCGCCACGCCGTTGACCGCAGCTCTGGAAATCTGGTCGGTATCAATGTCGAAGATTTCGGCTCCGATGAGCTTCTCAAGTACATCACCAACTGGTATTCAAATGTCAATTTAGTTGTTCTATGTTTGGTTTTCGGGTTTTGTTCTTTCAACGTAGTTGTAATTCAAGGTTGGTCAAGTCATTGTCTTTTGGTAATGTCACCAATTTTGTTTGAGCCTAATGACTCCTTCATCTCAAGAACTGCGTTGGAGGGCGAGTCCCAATGTGCTTGTGTAGTTTAACTAACCCTTATGAGAAGAAGTCTAGGAGGAAACGTGGCCGATGCCCTTTTCGTCCTTACGACCTACTTGTGTTCTTACGAACACCTTTCACCTTGTCCAGGGTTTGTGCTGCAAACTTGTTTATTTGGGTTCGATACTGACTGGACCATTCGCTGCAATGCATGTATGAAAATTCTTGGGATGATGATTTTCCTAGACATTTAGTGATGTGTTTTGCATATAATTTCCAAGAAAAGAGTTGGTATTTAGTATTTGGTTTAGTTTGCTTGTTTGGTATACTGTCACTTATTTAATTACGGCTCTTTAGCCAAAATGGTCCTGGGATTATAATAACTTCTCACTTTGGTTTGTTATTAAAAATCGATAAGAGTGGTCTCTGAATTTGTCTACCGTTAATCATTTTGATCTTTCCATGAAAAATCTCCGTTAAGTTGAGGTATTTTTGTTCAATCAACTCCTCCACTTGCTTTTCCACCTAACAAAGATTTTTCACGGAATGACCAAAATGATTGACGGTGGACAAACTCAGAGACCACTCCTATCTATTTTCAATGTTAGAGACTAAAGTGATGAGTTATTATACCACCATTTTGGCGACAAAAGCCTTTTAAGTAATGCCTTCTTTTCGTATATTTATTCAGCATCTGTTCTCTCTGATATGATTCACAACACACACAAAGGCAGACAATATATACATATTTGTATGCTAGAAATTCCATATATTCATGCCAATGAATTATTATGTAATTTATGTTGATTGGAATTTCTTTCCTATGTGTCTTTCTGTAGTTCCTAACATATTAATCTATCACCTTTCAATAGTTCAAGTGGAATCAAACGTCTCCGACTTGTCCGTTGCGATGGCATAACGAATGAGGGACTGGCTAAAGTGGCTTCGAAACTTCCACTCTTGGAGGACCTTGAAATTTCATACTGTGCATTCTCACATGAACCTCTAGAAGTTGTAGGGTCTTCTTGCCCTCTTTTGAAATCATTCAAATTTAACAACCGGTGGTACAGATGGTCAGATGAAGAGTGTGACGACGATGCACTTGCTATAGCAGGAACGATGCATGATTTACGCCACCTCCAGCTTTTTGGGAATAAGCTGACGAACGATGGCTTGCTGGCCATTCTTGACCATTGTCCCCAGCTCGAGTCGCTTGATCTTCGGCAGTGCTTCAATCTTAAGCTGGGAGGAAAGTTGAGAAGAAGCTGTGCTGAACAAATGAAAAAATTGTGGTTTCCTGATGATTCCACCCTTGACTATGAATTTGATTCTGCAATTGATTACCATGAAGACAACGCATTTGGGTATTCGGATATAGATTTGATGTCTGATGATGATAAGGATTATGACTTCTGTAACCGAAAAGTAGAAGATGATGAGGAGTATGACTTCAACTACGGGAGTGGTTCTGATGACTGCCGTGAGGTTGAGGATAATGATGTTTATCCATGGATTGTCTGACTTTTGATGCATTGAAGACCTTGTATCTGATGAAATTGGCGCATCTAGTGCTCTCGAAGCAAAAAGCTTTTATACATTCAAGGGGTCTGGAATTTCTTTGCAGAATGCCTAATTCTCTACAGAATATGCAGTTTTTTATGCGTTACCTCCCGATGCACGACTGTTTCTGCCATTTTACAAGCAGGGCTAATTACGCTTCATTTTAATTTGTACTTGGTCTTTGATAGCCTGGCTCCCATCAGACTATGATTTTTCTCTGAACATTTCTTACTTGTTTAAAACAGGTTTTGTTAGTTATGGGGACTGAAGTTATGCTTTATATACGATGGATTTGACTGTTTCTGTACTTTTATCCATTGTGGCGTCGCGTTATTCGTTTGAGAATGCCATGGTACCGTATTGGGGTGTAGGTAAGAGCAACTCCAGCGGGGGAGGTTGCTCGGGGGACAGGCCAGCAAACAGGGCCAAATTGCTGGGGAGATAGGGTCCAGCGTATGGGAGCCCGATGGACAGGCGAGGCCCGAACAACAGGCCCGGCAGGAATTGTCAGCCCGAGAGCCCGAAGCTGATGTTAGGACGACGTCGGCCATAATATAAAATTAAAAAAATATAAAAAATTAAAAAATAAAATTAAAAAATTAAAAAAAATGTAAAACTCTGGCTTTGAACTCAACGGCTCTGGCTGGAGTTCGTCGCTGAGACTGATACCCACAGATAAATGGAAGAGATCCGGTCCCTCCTCCACTGCAGTTATCGTCGCACCTCACACCGCCTTCGCCTCCACGCACTCACGATCCCCCTCCTTCCACTCGTGCGCCCAGATCGCACGATTTGGGATTTGTTTTTGGGGGAAAGAGGAGAGAGAGAGAGAGAGAGAGAGAGAGAGAGAGAGAGAGAGAGAGAGCGCTGCTGAGGCCCTGCCTCCGGAGCTCAAAGTGAGAGAGAACTAAATGAAAAGAAGGAATAGTGCGTTGGCACCATGTGAAAAGAAGAAAAAAATAATATAAAAAAGGTTTTGGCATGGTGCATCGGCACCATGTGAAAAAAATAGAGGTGTTGGAATGGTGTGCTGCACCATGTTAAAAGAAAAAATAAAAATAAAAAAAATTAATAGAAAGTGTTACAACGAGACCAATTAAAAATTTTATCCGAAATTATAAATAAAATTATTTTGTATTATTTTATAACTTTTTGGATAATGACACGATGTAACTAAAACGATTAAAAATCTTATCCGAAATTATAAATAAAATTATTTTGTATTATTTAAAAAAAAACTAATATTTTATTACGTATTGTCAGGGCTATTTAAGTACAACGGTAGAGATGCAAAAGACAATTACTATTCATTAAGGGCAGTTACTATTTACTGGGTGGATTAAATAGTGAATAGTCTGGGGGAGAGGCTCCCACGCTGGAACTGCTCTAATGAGAATGGCGATGCAATTACATTTATTAATTTTTTTTAAAAAAATGAAAAAATGTCTAAAATATTATGTAAAAGGAAGAAAATAAACATTAGAGCTAACATCATGGTCGAGATTGGAGAACAAAACTCCTCTGAGTAACCGTAGTATCCGTTGGGATTATTAGTGTTATTCACTTCCTTTGCATGCTCCAACACTTCATCTCATCTCAAAGAGATCCCTCGCCGCCATTATTGTTGTTGCCATGATGATCATCCACCACAAGCTGATGATTACTCTCAGAACTTAAGGTTGAAATAGACAGTATGTCTTCAGATTTTGATATCAGTTCGTTCAAGACACATTATGCGTTTCCATCTTCCAAATTGGTCGAAAAGATTCCGTTGTCGCCATTGTTGTTACCTTGTTCATCATCTACTGCATGACGATGATTATTACTCTCAAAACTTAAGGGTAGTGACTTAAGCAAGATGTCTTCAGATTTCGATCCTAGTTGGGTTGCGACACATAGCGCCTTACCATCCTCCAAATCTTTATTCCAAATATCTCTCTCACCGTCATTGTGGTTCGGGACACATTGTGCCTTATCATCTTCCAAATCAATATACCAGCTGAAGGATTCTCCGTTGGCATTTCTGTTACCATGGTGATCACCAACAACATGATGATGTTGATTAGTCTCAAAACTAATCAAGGGTGATGAATTGGGCAAGATGTCTTCAAATTTTGATATTAGTTGAGTAGAGTCGCTTAGCGGACTAGCATCTTCCAAATCTTTATCCCAAAAATATTCATCGCCACCATTGTCGTTACCATGATCACTCTCAAAATTGAGGGTTGAAATATTAGACAAGATGCCTTTAGATTTTAATATTGGTTGGTACCACCGACGAGGGGTGATGAATGAGGTAAGAGTTGAATATCAGAGTGCGCAACGAATAAGACTAACAAATAATAAGAATATTATTAAACAAACTGAGAATGTCGAAACGGCTACAAAACCCTAAGAGACTACATTGTGACTAACTTGTTCTCTAATGAATAACAAAGCACCATATTTATAATAAACTAACCCTAATATCTAACAAAACCTAATTCTAACGGGCTAAGCTCAGAAAACCAAACATTCAAATAAACCAAAATACTAATATTTTCCAACACCCCCCCCCCGTCAAACTCATGGCGGTACACGACATGAGTTTGCCAACAAGCAGATGTGGATGCAAGCCTCCAAATTCCAATGCCAATGTCGATGCCGATGCCGATGCCAATACCAATGCCGATGCCGATGCCGATACTAATGCCGATGCCAATACTAATGCCGATACCGATGCCGATACCAATGCCGATGCCGATGTCGATACCAATGTCAATGCCAACTTCCAAACAAACAAACAAAAAATTCAACCAAATTATTATTTTTTCCTTGTGCCAGCATGGGCCTCAAACAAGCAACCAATTTTTTCTTGTTTCTTCCTTTTTTTTTTACTCCCCTTTTTTTCCTTTTTTTTTCATTCCATTCTACTTTTTCTTTTTTTTCCTTTGCAGCAATACAGACTTGCGGATACTTCTGCAGGCTGCGGCGTTCAAAGGTGCAGAAGCAGAGTCACGGGACAAAAAACGAACGAACAATTTTTTTCTTCTTGAAAACAATCAATACCAACTAACAATCTGAACACGAACGACAACGGAAACAAGCAAACAGATACCAACCCGAAGCAGATTAAATCCCGAAGGATCAAACCTGCTCTGATACCAAGTTGAATATCAGAGTGCGTAACGAACAAGACTAACAAATAATAAGAATATTATTAAACAAACTGAGAATGCCGAAACGGCTATAAAACTCAAAAAGACTACATTATGGCTAACTTGTTCTCTAATGAATAACAAAGCACCATATTTATAATAAACTAACCCTAATATCTAACAAAACCTAATTCTAACGGGCTAAGCTCAAAAAACCAAACATTCAAATAAATCAAATACTAATATTTTCCAACAGCAAGATGTCTTTAGAGTTTGATATTAGTTCAGTCGAGACACATAGCACATTACTATCTTCTAAATCTTTATCCTGAAAGTACCCGTCGCAATTATTGTAACCCTGATGATGATTCTCAATATTTAGGACTGAATTTGTAATCATATCTTCAGATTTGGATATTGGTTGGTTCGAGACACATTGTGCCTCACTATCTTCCAAGTTTGTATACCAGAATGATCCCTTGCCGCCATCGTTGTTAACATGATGATCACTCTCAAAACTAGACCACAAGTCTTCAAATATTGGAATTGACGGCGTGATGGAGACGCCTTAACTTCCTCCAAAGCATGTCTACCTTTCCGTCTCTTCTTGTTATTCTGAAGAAGCGCGTCGTCTTCAACTGCATAGCATACTGTCCACTCATCCTCAATCCTTTTCTTCTCATCCGCCAACTTATGATCATCTTCTTCCAGATCATCAACATCGATAATCTCTATCCTTCGCTTGTATTTCTGCCGGTTTTTTAGGCCTCGAAACTTATGAATTTGCTCCTCAACTTCATCCCCACTAACAGGACCATCATGTGTTTTGTCTGATTGCATGTAGTGAATGAGAACAGCATCCGCCGAAGAGTGCCCAAAAGCATAAGTGCTGCCCACTTCAGAAGCCTTTCGCTCTCTTTTACTTTGTTGTCTCTCTTGTTTTTCCTCCATTGTTATTTCACATGCCTTTCTTTTCATCTTTTGTGCACACAGTTACGTAGCCAGGGTTTCGGTTTTCGGTTTCGGGTTTACAATATCTTTGCTTACATTTTATAGCTTGGTGTAGACAATCAACCAGCTGAGCTCTGCGTGTGTGTATATATATATATATTTCCCTCTGCAAAGTAGACAAGGAAGAGTCCATGGCCTGATGTAGGGCGCAGAACCAGTCACCAACAAGCTTGTAGCTCAAGGAGTTGTCACGGTCCATGAATCTTCTTTTAACTACCTACTCATGTGCGCTTCGTGTCTGCAGAGATTAAGTGTCAGGAACACGGCTTGATACACCAAGTGTAATAATACAATTAGTTGGAAACTCGAAAAATAATAATTATATTATGACACTTGGCGTACCTGGCCGTATTCTTGGCACTCTGAAAATTTCTCTTGGGCATCTCATAGTCTATCTGTCATGATTTTGTTTGGTTTGAGGCACCTCCTAACTTTTTAAGTCAAGATAAGTTGTTCCGATCGGTCAACATTGTTTTTTTCCTTATATCGTTCAAAGACAACTTCTTTGAACCCCTCCTGACGCAGGAAGAACCAAGGGGTCTCGAGGAGACGAGGGATAGATAACCTGGGAGTCACTCAACCAAGGGCAACGGAATCACTCGACGTCGCTAATCGTGGATTCATTCACACAACCAAGCTTTAAACTTGATTTTAAGGAGGAGAAAATTCACTGTCTTCTAATATAAATCACCAAATTCACTACCTTAAAGATACATATGGAGCCCTTTAAATAAGGAGATTACAAAGCATTGGTACACTAAATATTTAAGAGTGGGATAGTTACTAGGCAATTCAATTAAAAGAGAAGGTGACAAAGGTTTTGAGAAATGAGATTGTCTGTATCATGCAACATGGTCTTCCATGAATCAATAGCATTTTCTGTAGGTGGTGATGATGTCTGTAATAACCTGCTACAGTTCTCTTCAGATTGAAAAATTGCAACTCTAGCCCTCCGTGGTTGAGGTCTTATGACGGATGTGGCTTTTGTTCTTTCTTTGGATTTATCCTTCATATATTCCAACTCCTTTCGTTGCTTGCTATTCCAATAATTTTTTACCTTGCCTGCTGTTCTTCCTGGGAGTCTTCCAGCAATTATTGACCACCTTACATGCACAAACAAAATGAATAAATAATATGTTAAAACTACAAGGGCATTTGTTCAAAACTACAAGGGCTTTGTAACTCTTTTTTTTTTTTTTGGTCAGAAACAAGGGCTTTGTAACTCAAGAATAGTAAAATTGTAAGGAGTTGTTGTCACGGTTTCAGAATTATTCTCACTCGGATAAAACCCATTGACTAGATTTCATATCAGCAAATTCATTAATTATGTTTGGCTTCATAGATTTAAAAAAATTTGGATTCCTAAAATACCACTATTTGAATTTATTTTATTTTTTGATAAACCATATTTGAATGTTTGATGTACATAATTAATGCCTATATAGTAACATAAAACATGTCTAATAAATGTTATTATACTTGCTTAATGAAGTCAATAAAACTATATTTTACATATTAATGTTGGTAAATTATTTCTCTCTCTCTCTCTCTCTCTCTCTCTCTCTCTCTCTCTCTCTCTCTCTCTCTCTCTCTCTCTCTCTCTCACACACACACACACACACACACACATGACATATGCATGATATATGTAAAATTCATGCAAAATAATTTACCTACATAATAAAACAATATTATTTTATTTAATACTAATTTACCTATTATTTGTACATATGATAATAAAATGTGCCAAATATATATATGATATTGAATCATTGATACATACAAAATAAAATACCTACATAACAAAAGAATACTATTTGATTCAAAATTAATTTACTTACAAAATAAAGCAATGTTATTTGATTTGAAGTTAATTTACCTATTATTTGTACATATATCTTATAATAATAAAATGTAATAATATATAAAAAATAAATTACCTGATTCAATATTAATTTACCTACAAAATATATATTATTTGCTAATCATAAATTTACATATAGGTAAATTCATTATATATAATATTTTTTAACATATATTTTTTACTTGGTATTTTTTTCCAATTTGGGTTTTATTTGGATGTTCAGAATTAAATGAATTTTTATCAAGAAAATAAAAGTTGTAAGGATCTATATTTAAAGAACCCTATATTTTTTTTTTATTAATTTTTTGTGAGAGGCTTTCTCAAGTGTGAAATCCTGGCTCCACAGACTTGGAGCACAAACAAAAAAGGCCCAAAATGCTGGTGGCTGGCCAGCGTCTTAAGTTTTTGCATATAGGGTTTCGTATTCTGGATGTATGTGTGTTAAGGCTGGTTTGGTATTGCTGTGCTTTGAAAAAAAACTGTGTTGTGAGAATAAGTGGCTGTGAAATAAATTAGCAGAGTGTTTGATAAACTTTTTTTGTAAAAATGCTTTTGGAAAAAAAAGCATTCTGATAGTGGGTCTTTTCATTAAAGGAGCACTGTAGCTGCTTTGAAAAAAAACCAGTTTTCCAAAGCTGCAAATAGCAGCTTCAGCTTTTTTCTTTGATTTCAGCTTATTCTCACAGCAGCTTCCAAAATAAGCCATTTTTTTTAGTTTACCAAACACCTAAAACCCTCACAGCTTTTTTTCATGGATGCTTTTTTTTAAGCACCTCACTTCCAAACCACCCTTTAGTCGGTCAACAAATCTTATTTACTGGCTGATGTGCCTTGGCAGGCTTCTGTTCATTTCCCAGCTTCTTATGAAGTTCTTGTGTTTTGATACAATCTTCAAGGTGCGTAATATGATAACTAGCTCATGCATGCATGCATTTGGCTTTTGCTTGGAATATAAAATGACTTGCCGGTTTCTTTTTTTGTTTGCCAAATAAAGGGACTTGCCTGTTTCCCAAAAGTTTCTGAAGTCTATGGATTAGATCTATTTCATCCTCTGTGAAATCTCCGCTCTTGAGATTCGGCTTCAAATAGTTCAACCACCTCAGTCTGCAGCTTTTCCTGCATCTGTTTAGACCTGCACATTTACACAAAGACACTAGAAGAAAAAAGATCATCTACCATGGTGGATGTCCGTTGTAGATCGAAATCCACCACGAACACACTGCCCATTAGTATTAAGGATGTGGTAAAAAGTTTAGACTTTTACCACGGCCAAAGCACGTTGTCAATTAAATAATAATCACGGACTTAGCCCGTAGTGAATTCGAATCTAACACCACACGCTAAAACCGTTGTGGACCATTAATTAACCATGGATAATGCCCATTATAAAAAAAATTCTAAAAAATAAAAATAATTAATTAATTAAAAACAATATATAAATTTTGATAAAAAAAAAGCAATATATAAAAACCCACAAAATTGCAAATTTACTATAATACAATAAAATTTTAAATTATTACATGTTTAAAAAGAATTACAAGTATTACACTAAACTACAACAAAATCACCTATAAAACCAATGTGATGTCCTAAGAAATATGAAACTATCTATAAATTATGAAATACGCCGCCATTTACAAGGAAATTGTCACTTAGAAGACTTTAGTTTTCCTTGAATACCTCCAATCAAATTCCTTTCAAATTTGCAGTTGCCCACCCATGTACACACTTCAAATTTGTAGTTTCCTGTTGATGTAATAGCTGACATTGGAGTTATGGACCCTCATGAATTAGAACCACCAACCACCTTTGAGATAAAACAAGAAAAAATATATATCTTAGAAAGGAAGCTCATGTCTCAACTCAAGGACATGATATACAAAAAAATTTCATCCATTAAGTCAATTCCCAAAAGGCAAACAGTCCATCATCTAAGTGAAAAAAAAAAATGTCCTAGTACCGATTATCCCAAGGATATGCTAAACTACTGAGACAGGCAGTGGATCAATAGGTATCAAATGCTGAACCCTATGGATAAACTCAGCCCCAGTCCAAACTTCTGATTCCTTCTAATAAGGATATTAACAGAAATAGGCATTCATTATGTAACAACCTTATGAAACCCTCTAAATAATACCTTCTAATCAAAGTCCAAATCATGGGCAGGAAAGAAGCTTAGTTATTGTTGGCTACAATCAAGCTCTTCACATTTTGTTGATCATTCATCCATTCTTATCTTTACATTTATCAAGATTTCACCCCAAAATGGATCAAGGGCAGTTTTTCTGAACATACATCAGTAGCCAATGTATTGCAAAGCCAATCCTATTTATTTTCTAAAAGCTCTAATCCCTTTTGCTTTGGATGCCCTTTTTTCAATTCCAAATCTTATTAGCAAACGTCTACTTAGTTTATGTAACCATGAATCTCCCAAGTTTACACAATTCTGCTTTCCTTTTAATCTCTAAAATTTTAACAAATTCAAAATTTTTGGATCATCAAATTCTCAATCATTCAATAGCATATCAAAATTCAGAAAGCAAAATAACGAAAGGTTAAATATTTATTACACGATTTTGATCCAAACACAATCCAAGATCCAAACTTTAAACAAAATTAAAACCCTAACAATATCAACCCTGAGATAATTTACATAGCATAGCGAAAACAAAGTATTTGTAGCATTGAATTACCAATTAAGTTTCGAATCCGAACCCGATCTGAACCAGGACCCAGACCTCAAGTTCCGCCACTAGATCGGTGGAGGTACAGCTTGCCGAACACATGAAGAGCCGTGATGAAGCCAATGAAGCAGAGTTTCATGACGACAACAGTTGGGGCACTAGCAAGGAGATTTAGAGCGATACTAGCAGATTGACGAATATCGTTAAGTAAAAACTCAGAGGGCTGAGAAGCTCACCATTATTGCAGTTTTCTCAGGAAAAAAATGAAATTCAGAAGTTAGAAAGAGAGAGAGAGAGAAAAAGGAATCTTCCGAGAACAAGTACGAGGGGGAAGAAAGAACAAGGGGTAAATGAGAGGGAAATGGTGAATAGGAAAATCTGTAGATGGCTAAGAAGCGGTGGGGAGTTTTCAAGTCGGTGGTAGGTGGGAGTCTGCCCAGAGAATAAAGAGGAAGCCATAAGAAATAGGAATTGAGAAGGATTTCAATTTTGAGAAGGGCGGGAATATTAGTAAGTTTCATAGATTTCAAATTTTGGGAAATTTGTAATCCCGCTTTTTGAATTTTTTTTAATAATGTGTGTAATTCTACCACACTTAATGATCGTGGTAGATAAAAAGAATCCAGAGTGGTTACGAACTATATACCACGTTGAAGGTCCGTGGTGATTTAATATTTTTACAACGTGTTGACTAAGTTCGTGGTATTAGATTATTTTATCATAACGGGTCATTATTTGCTTGTTATAAAATATTATTATCCACGACGTGCTCACTAAGCCCGTGATAAATATTCACTTTTATCATGCGCACATAAAATCCGTGGTAGAATTGTCGTGGTAGATGAGCTGCTGTGTTCTAGTGAGACTTTATTTATAACATGTTTCTAGATAATCAAACTGAAGGACAACTAATTTTCTAGTCAAGTATGCCAATAAACTTGTCTCTTTACCTGTTTCGCGAGGAACGTGGTGCCACTTTCCATCTCCATGCTTTTCAACGCACTGCCTCAGAATATCATCTTCCTGTTGAGTCCAGGCACATTTCCTCATTATTCCCAGCAAATTACTATCCTCCATATGTAAATATATATCAGATTAGAGATCATAAGGCCACCGACGTGCATGACTGCTCGCCACATAAATGAATGAAAAGGACCACAGTACGAAGAAACAATTTGATAGAGTTTTTTTTTTTTACCAGAAACGATAGGTTCAGGTTGTATTTCACTGATTCTTAAGGAAGAGTGTTGATGTGAGTCAATTTGTCTCATATCAGATGTACAGTAGTTAGAGTTGTTTGTGTGTGTATATAGAGGTTTCCTTATGTTAGCGGATCGGATATACAAGAAATATATATAAAAGAAAATTGCCCCAAAGTTCTCTATTTTTATTCCAAATACTGCCCCAGAATATCATCTTTCTGTTTAGGGCTGGTTTGATATTATTGTGCTTTAAAAAAAGCTGCTGTGAGAATAAGCGGCTGTGTTGTGAGAATAAGCGGCTGTGAAATAAATCAACAGAGTGTTTGGTAAACTTTTTTGTAAAAGTGCTTTTGGAAAAAAAAAGCAGTCTGATAGTGGGTCTTTTCATTAAAGGAGCACTATAGCTCCGTGTGCTTTGAAAAAAAGCTAGTTTTCCAAAGCTGCAAACAGCAGCTTCAGCTTTTTCCTTTGATTTCAGCTTATTCTCACAGCAGCTTCCAAAATAAGCCATTTTTTTCAGTTTACCAAACACCTAAAACCCTCATAGCTTTTTTTCATAGGTGCTTTTTTTTTAAGCACCTCACTCCCAAACCACCCCTTAGTCCAGGCACCTTTCCCCATTCCCAGCAAATTATTATGGACCCGACTTCTCTGCCCTCCCAGTTCCATACACTCTCATCTCTTATTATTTTGTGTGGTCACGGTTAAGCCACGTCAACATTTTATATTGATTTTTTATAGAGATAATAAGACAAAAAGCAATAGTGATATAAAATTTTGACGTGACTTAATCGTGACCGTACAAATAGAAGGGGATGATAGTGGGAGGGCAGAGAAGCCAGATCCAATTATTATATATCCTCCTTCCTCCATATGATGGGTTAATAGAGGTGTACTAGAGGTAGCTGATCCCACGGCACATACACAAAGGAGGCAGATTCTCTGCCCTTCCACTTCCCGTGCCCTCATGTGCCCTCTTGTTTGTGTGGTTACGGTTAAGTCACGTCAACATTTTATATTACTATTCTTTTTTGTTTTATTATTTTTATAAAAAATAATATAAAATATTAATGTGGCTTAACCGTGACCATACAAAGAGAAAAAACACGAGAGGACACAGAAAGTGAGAGTGCAGAGAATCTGCCTTCGTACACAAAACTATAGATCAACGTGCATGACTGCACTCCACGAAATGGAATGGAAAAAGGACAGCAGAAAATAGTGAGACAGTTTGGATTGAAGTTGCGTCAATTTCCAAAAGTGTGTTAGAAAACAGGGATTCTCCTAGTCATCAATGCCAGGTGTCCATCAGCCAATGGAGGGCTCGTCATTTCTATTATTCACGTGGGGTTCCGAAAGAGAATGAGTGAAAATGGTCAACTCGTTCCAAATCTTTTAAATCTCCCATTAATTTTTTTTCTTCAGACAATTAAGTACTCGATCTAATTAGTTTTCTTGTTTTAATTGATTCTTAGTCGCCTAATTAGTCGTCTTCTTTTAATTGATTTTTAGTCGTGAACTGTCTTTATTTTCTTAAAAAAAAATTATTGTGTTTGAAGTATTTTTGTCTAAAATGTTATGATATTTTCACTTTTTATAACCACTTATACATCATTTTTTAATTATAATCATCGAATTAAATAAATTAAACAAATACAAATGAAAAGCGTGAGAGATGAAAAAGATTATCTATTTATCACTTCGCTATTAAAAACTATATGTGAAAAGCCAAATATGATATTAAAAAACTAAACACTCGGAACACCTTTGGCATTGTTTTAGGTCATCCAAGCGGTTGTTCACTCGCCTAAGCATCAATACTTATTCTTCACGCCACTTTTGGTGAGCCAAAACACAAATCTGTGTCTTTTGGAGCGTTGTGACGTCCCACCCAAATGCTTTGGCCTTCATTTAAAGTATATATATTTTGGCATTTTGTTACACCTAGGGCTGGTTTGGTATTGGATTCTGAACCGAAACTAGTATCCCGAATCCCAAACCAAAATTTTTCGGGATGAGAATTTGAAGACCAATTTCAAACTAAATTTTTGGGAATCCTAAATTTCGGGAATCCTGAAATATTTCGGGACAAATAGGGATTAAATTTCATAAACCCTAACCTAATAAACATAAATATAGAAATTAAATTAGGGCTCGAATCATGAACATCCAATCCAAAACATGAACAAATTTCACAAACCCTAATCTAGAATTCAAACCCTAAATTAAATTTCAAACCGTAAATTAATTCCAAAATTTACATGCTAAAGACTCTCAAACTTTGAGTGTCTGATAGAGAGAATCGCGATAGAGAGAGAGCGGTGACTCTTTGTGGTGAAGGAAGGCTCCATAGTCGGAGACGGTAGTAATAGAATGGTGTGGTGGTGGGCCGGTGATAGGCCAGAGTTGAGCTTCAAATTCGAGACAGAGGAGAGGGCTCGGTGGCTGAGGGAGGGAGGTTGGTTTCAATTGAAATGAAAGTTATGAACGAACGATGGAAAGAGAAGGCTGGAGAACCCTAACAATGAATGGACGACAGAGATTAATTTGAAACAATCCAATGGTTGAAATTAACTCTAAATATAATTAAAAATATATATAATATATATAAATAATAAATATATATTTTCGGTTCGGTATGGGATTCCCGAAATATTGAAAAGACAATCCCGAATCTCATACCGAAATTTCGGGATCGGTTTGGGATAGCATCTTGAAAATTTCGGGAATTTCAGTTTGGGACATTTTTGGTTTGGGATTTTTTCAGTTTGGTTCGAGATTTTTGGGAATTTTTTCCACCCCTAGTTACACCAACTACTTTTTTATACAAGCACAATTAGTGTTGCATACATTATAAGTACAAAGCAGAAATTTTGAAAGACAACCCGGCATGATAAGTTGAACAAACAAAATATTTATGGTTCTGAGCTGAAAAATGAAATATATGTGTATATATCACAAACAAACATATAGGGACTTACTAATTAAGTACGTACATTGTCTGCAAAGTACAACTAATTCGATGATTGCTTGAGACTTTGGACCTCTAAATCTTAGTTCTCTCTTCTTCTAGATTCCAAAGGTTTTCTCTAAAAGAAAAGTTGCCACTCATGTCTAAACTTCATCAGCAGAATTCATGCCTACCGTTGTCGATTGTGCAACATCTTCAACCCAAAAGTTTGTGAAGAGGTCTTCCTCTAACCCTAAACTAGAAAATAGTGTTCCATCAACATTGTCTGTATCATGCAACATGGTCTTCCATGAATCAATAGCATTTTCTGTAGGTGGTGATGATGTCTGTAATAACCTGCTACAGTTCTCTTCAGATTGAAAAATTGCACCTCTAGCCCTCCGTGGTTGAGGTCTTATGACGGATGTGGCTTTTGTTCTTTCTTTGGATTTATCCTTCATATATTCCAACTCCTTTCGTTGCTTGCTATTCCAATAATTTTTTACGTTGCCTGCTGTTCTTCCTGGGAGTCTTCCAGCAATTATTGACCACCTTACATGCACAAACAAAATGAATAAATAATATGTTAAAACTACAAGGGCATTTGTTCAAAACTACAAGGGCTTTGTAACTCAAGAATAGTAAAATTGTAAGGAGTTGTTGTCACGGTTTCAGAATTCTTCTCACTCGATCGATCAAGTGCGCCTTGTGTCTTCAACGGGACATCTCATTGATTGAGTCCACAATAAAATTTTGGAGTGTCAATGATGTGTTTTTTCTCTCTCTATTTCTCATGGTTTGTATGGCTTGAGGAACGGGATAATTTTTAGTCAAGATAAGTTCTTCCTAGGTTGCATTCCTTAGCTTATATCGTTTAATAGAAGTATCCTGTCTTTTTTTATAAAAATAAAGGCTAATGTTAGGCAGACCAAATTTTTTAAATCAAATTATGTGGTTGTAAATAATTGGATTATTAGTAAGTATTGATTAATGTGCTTGTTTTTTTATTGATGACACATAGTTTGATTTACAAATTAGTTTAAAATTTTGGTCTCCCTAGCATTATCCTAATATATTGCTGGGCTAGTTTTGAAGAATGGATTGAACAGGGATAACTCAATTTGATATATGGTGGGATTGGCGCAAATTATAATTGAATCATGTGATTCTAACGAATAAGAATTTTAAAAGAAGAATTAGTATCAATTCTCTATTTACTAATGTTCATTAACTGAGACTTTATTAGTTTTCAGATTTTGATCGAAGTTCCTATCATTAATGTATTAATAAGTCATTTACATAATTTTGAAAATAAAAATTAGTAGTTGATTTTGGGTTTTAATACTCACACTTTTATTAAACTCCAAATTAATTTTCAATTCAAAAACATTACTAAAATAAAAAATAAAAATAAGCTTGTACTTATTAATTTTTTATAAAAGTTTTAAATTTTTTAATCTTAAATATACTCATTCATATAATATTTCAATTTTTTAATCTTAAATGTACGCATTCTTAAATATATCAATTTGTTATATGTAAAATGATCCTTTTTTATTAATATAAAATGTACCCATTTAATATACAAAATTCATTCAATTTTTTTCTAATCCATTTTTAAACTTATATGGGTACATTCTTATATGTAACATTTCAATTTTTTAATCTTTTTCTTTTTATTTTGAACAAATCAATTTTTTAATCTTAAATGTACACATTCTTAAATATAACAATTTTTTATATGTAAAATGTACCATTTTTAAAAATATAAATGTACCCATTTTTTTAATACAAAATCCATTCAATTTTTTTCTAATCTATTTTTTAAAACTTATTTGGGTTTGGGCACGTACTTTCTTTTTCGTTGATTTGATAATGTATTCATATCAAGTTCAATCTAAAAAATTTACTAATTTTATTAAGCT